GGCCCGGGGGGGGCTGGGGACAGCCAGCCTGAGCCCCGTCCCCTCCCCAGACCACCACGCGGGGGGGGGTCATCATCTCCAACAACAACCAGTTCTCCAGCGCCTGGGCCTCCATCCTCTGGTTCAACATGCTCAGCTCTGACCCCAAGGCGAGCCCTGTGCCCCCCAGCGCTGCCACCCTCGTGTCCCCTGTCCCTTCCCTAGCCCTGCCCTCCTCCTGGTGTCCTGTCCTGGTGTCCCCTGTGCCCTGTCCCCAGTTCTGGGCCCGGTCCCTGCCCCATCCCAGGTGCAGATTTTTTGTCTCCTGGTCCCAGTGCCCTGCCCTGCTTCACGTCCTTGGTCCTTGTCCCACCCCTGCTTTGATGTCTGTCCTTGGTGCCTGTCCCCTGCTGCATTTCCCTGTCCCTTGGTGCCTGTCCCCTGCCCTGGTGCATGTGCCCATCCCTTGTACCCCGTTCTCTGCCACGTGTCCCCATCTCTGCTTCCTGTCCCGTCCCCTGGTCCCAGTCCCTGCTCCCTGGTCCCAGTCCCATGCCCTGGTCCCTGACCTGTCCCTTGGTCCCTGTCCTGTCCCCTGCTCCCTGTCCCCTGCCACATGTCCCCATCCCCTGGTCCCTGTCCCATCCCCTGCTCCCTGTCCTGCCCCCTGGTCCCTGTCCTGTCCCCTGCTCCCTGTCCCCTGCCACAGGTCCCCATCCCCTGCTCCCTGTCCTGTCCCTTGGTCCCTGTCCCGTCCCCTGCTCCCTGTCCCATGCCCTGATCCGTGTCCTGTCCCTTGGTTCATGTCCCATCCTCTGCTCCCTGTCTCCTGCCCTGGGGACAAGCATGTCCCCATCACTTGTACCCTGTTCTCTGTCCTTATTCCCATCCCCTGGTCCCAGTCCTGTCCCTTGGTCCCTGTCCCATTCCCTGCTCCCTGTCCCATCCCTGTCCCATCCCCTGGTCCCTGTCCCCTGCCCTGGTGCATGTCCCCATCCTGCTGTCCCTGTCCCCTCCCTCTATCCCTGTCCCCTCCTCCTGTCCTTGTCCCCTGTCCCCATCCCCTCCTGCTGTCCCCATCCCCTGCTCCAATGCATGTCTCCTGGTGTCCCCAACCCCTCTCCCTGTCCCTGCCCCGTCCCTCCCCATGTCCCCAGCCCTGCTCACCCCGTGTCCCCCCGTGTCCCCCTGTCCCCTCCGTGTCCCCCAGGCCCAGCAGTTCTTCTCGTCACCGCCACCGGCCCCGTGGCCCCGGCTGGCCGAGGTGCTGAGCTGGCAGTTCCAGAGCGTGGCCGAGCGGGGACTCAGCCGGGACAACCTCCTGATGCTGGCCAAGAAACTCTTGGGTGAGGGTGGGGACACGGGGGGACACGGGGGGACACGGGGGGACACCGTGGGACATGGCTGCACTGTCCCCCCTCACCCTGCTCTCACCCCAAGGCTCAAAGCCATCACCGGACAGCACCGTGGCCTGGCCCAAGTTCTCAAAGGTCAGTAGGGCCTGTCCCCTCTGTCCCCATGTCCCCATGTCCCTGTCCCCTCTATCCCCATGTCCCTGTCCCCTATGTCCCCGTGGCCCTGTCCCCTCTGTCCCCATGTCCCTGTCCCCTCTATCCCCATGTCCCTGTCCCCTATGTCCCCGTGGCCCTGTCCCCTCTGTCCCCCATGTCCCCATGTCCCCATGTCCCTCTCTGTCCCCCCATGTCCCCATGTCCCCATGTCCCCATGTCCCCATGTCCCCTCTGTCCCTCTCTGTCCCCCCATGTCCCCAGGTCCCATCCGTTCCTCTCTGTCCCCCCATGTCCCCAGGTCCCCCCATGTCCCCATGTCCCCTCTGTCCACCATGTCCCCATGTCCCCATGTCCCTCTCGCCCAGGACAGCGGCGCCGGTTTCTCCTTCTGGGCCTGGCTGGACGGGATCCTGGGGCTGCTCCAGGAGCACCTGAAGGAGCTCTGGAAGAAGGGGTAGGAGCGGGGCCGGGCGGGCCGGGGAGGGAGCCGGGGGTGTCACGGGGGCTGACGGTGCCACCCCCAGACTCATCCTGGGCTTCGTGAGCCACAAGCAGAAGGAGAAACTGCTCAAGTGCAAGCGGACGGGGACGTTCCTGCTGCGCTTCAGTGAGACCGTCCTGGGCGGTGTCACCTTCACCTGGGTGGAGCACCCCGAGACAGGTGAGTGACCCCCGGGACCCCCAGCAGCCCTGGGGACAGGCCTGGCTGCGCTGGCAGCGGTGCAGCAGTGGAAAAAGCCTCTGGAGGGATGGGATTTCCCAAATCCATGGAGGGCGTGACGGGCTGTGCAGTGGGCTTTGTCCCGGGGGATGACGCTGGGACACCCTGGAGGTTCAGAGCCTTGGAGGAGGTCGGTGCCTCGCTGTAAGGCAAAGAGGAGAAACCTCCCTCCCCTGAAGCTTAGCGAGCAAGAGGATAAATTCAGATTTCGCTTAAAAGTGGATGAGAATGGTGAACCTGGGTTCCTATCTCCAGCAGGGCTCCCTGTGGCACACGGTGTCACCTGGGTCCCCACCTCCCTGTGGGACACGGTGTCACCTGGGTCCCCAATTCCAGCAGGGCTCCCTGTGGCACACGGTGTCACCTGGGTTCCGAATTCCAGCACAGCTCCCTGTGGCACACGGTGTCACCTGGGTCCCCAATTCCAGCACAGCTCCCTGTGGGACACGGTGTCACCTGGGTCCCCAATTCCAGCAGGGCTCCTTGTGGGACACGGTGTCACCTGGGTTCCGAATTCCAGCACAGCTCCCAGTGGGACACGGTGTCACCTGGGTTCCAAATTCCAGCACAGCTCCCAGTGGGACACGGTGTCACCTGGGTCCCCATCTCCCTGTGGCACACGGTGTCACCTGGGTCCCCAATTCCAGCAGGGCTCCCTGTGGGACACGGTGTCACCCTCCGGCTGACCCCGCTGTCCCCCCTCAGGACCCCCCATTTTCCACGCCGTGGAACCCTACACGGCCTCGGAGCTGGTGTCGCTGGCGCTGCCCGACATCATCCGCGACTACCACATGAGCCTGGAGGAGAAGAATCCCGAGAACCCCCTCAAGTTCCTGTACCCCAACATCGCCCGGGACGAGGCTTTCGGGCCCTTCTACAGCCAGAGGCTGGAGGGTACGGCCTGGCATGGCCTGGCACGGCCTGGTACGGCCTGGCACGGCCTGGCACAGCCTGGCACTGAGGCAGGACAGCACCTGCCACCCCCCTGACCCCTCTCGTTGTCCCCAGGGAACCTGAGTGAGTCGCAGAAATACCTGAACCGGCGCCTGATCCGCGTGTCCTCCAGGTGAGGGCACGTGGGGACACCTCCGGGAGCCTGTGGGGTCCCTGCCCCGATCCCTGACCCTGACCCCAATCCTTGACCTGATCCCTGACCCTGACCCCAATCCTTGACCTGATCCCTGACCCCGATCCCTGACCCTGACCCCAATCCTTGACCCGATCCCTGACCCTGATCCCTGACACTGACCCTGACCCCGATCCCTGACCCGATCCCTGACCCTGACCCCAATCCTTGACCTGATTCCTAACCCTGACCCCAATCCCTGACCCCCAATTCCTGACCCTGAACCCAATCCTTGACCTGATCCCTGGCCCTGACCCTGACCCTGACCCCAATCCTTGACCCGATCCCTGACACTGACCCTGACGCCAACCCTGATCCCTGACCATGACCCCAATCCCTGACCCTGATCCCTGACCCCGATCCCTGACCCCGATCCCTGACCCCAATCCC